CACGCGCTCCCTGGCGGGGCAATTTGACCCTTCGAAGTTTTTTACAAGATAATTTCCGAACGCTCCCGTCCAAAGGTTTGGCTGATATGTTAACAAATGGCTTAAGTGATACTGTTGACAAATGGCTATTGCGACAACGCCAGCGACTACGAAGCCGGGTCAATCTTTACTTAATTATAGGCTGTTGGATAGCAGATATTTTGGTATAACTTAATTATGCCTATCTTGTAACGTCGCTGGACTGTAGCAGGTTAAGTTTAGGCCATGTCGTTCAGCGGAGGCAATTTCAAGGGCATGGTTCAACATGATGCGACGACGGAGTGTTAGACGAAGCTATACGTATATAAGATAGTTTCGTAGGCAATAACATAATGAAACTTCGCTATTACGACAAATTCGTTGACTTGGGGTCAGGAATGAATTGATAGGCCATTCTTTGTTCCGAGGCACAAATGCTACCACGAAAGACAAAGCGAGTCACACCCGACGACAAAGCACAGCCAGCCATGAATCAGCTTCGATAGCCGCGCAAGCTGCCCATACGACTTCGTCCACACGCCAGCCTGTGAGTTCACATCATCGCGGCTTTTGAGTGGCCGTGGCCGAACAGACTATGCTCGGGGGTGGAATAAATGCAACAATGGGAGTGCCCTGACTCCTGTATGCAGCGCCCAGCGATTCATTAGCTGTGCATATGACGTTGCTTCGGCTAAAAATAACACAATCGCAAATAGATATTCGTCCTCTGCACCTGTCATTGTTCGGCTATCTATAATTCCACCCACATTCCACTTCGGTGTCAAACATAGCAATGCGCATAAACATCTAAATGACATGGCGTACGTGGCTCGTCACTCACGGTGATTATGCCGACAGCGAGGGGGCCGAGCACTGTCGGTGCCGCGCAAAAGCACGGATCGAGCACGGCCGGCCCCGTAGACAAGTACAGACTGAGCACAACGTAACGTAGGCAGGTACGGGCCGAGCACGGCGTAATGTAGGCAGGTACGGGCCGAGCACGGCGGAATGTAGGCAGGTACGGACCGAGCACGGCGGAATGTAGATAGACACGGACGGGGAATGGCACATCTGGCGCGCAACCGGCGCATCTGGAGCCAAAACTTGACTGCGGACAACAGACTCGCCACGCTCGTCACCCACTTGTACCACCGGGGGTGGCACGGCCACGTGCCATCACCTGTGCGAGGCCATATAAGAGCGAGCGTATTGCTATGGCTTGCCGCTTAGGGTTGTCATGCGCATTATCGTTATCGTCGTTAAATTATAGACAGTCGGCTCGCTGGTCAGATACATCTGCCCGCGACGGTTTCTTTGATATTGACGCGAAGACAGTCCGATGTTCCTGCCACTTTCTTGCGAACAAGTCTCGTATGTGCGTCGTCACTTTTCATGACATTGTATTTTAATGGCTTGTTGCAAAGGCTTGCAAAGCATGTCATCAAATTCGCCCTAAAATTATACGTAATCGGCTGGCTGGTAATATGGGCATCCAGTTTACGGCTTTCAAATTACGTGTACGAATATTCCGATGTTCCGGTTGTCCCTCAGCATTACGTTTGGTGTCTGGCGGCCCGCCACGTGATCAAGTCACGGCACCAGTGACGTCACGCTAATGTTAAGCGAGGATGGAGCGAGAATCACCAGGTGGTTTCAACTCTCTTTTACGTCATAGATGACACTAATTTTTAACTTCCTGTCAGGAAGCCGTTTGTAGTGCTACAGAAAAGGGAGAGGCTGAGGAAAAAAGGGGCGGCCCGCACGCTATATCAAGCATTTGTTCCAGCATGTGTGCGTGCAACAGGGCGCGGATGAGCGGGGCATCAATATCTGATGTTGCATGTTGTGTGTGCACGGTGTACCGGTTGACCAGGGGACCAGATAACATAGGCACGTTCAGCGAGGCAGCTGTGCTAGCAGCTGAGCAGGGCACCAGATTGTGTACAGGTATAGCGTAGTTGCTTGACATTGCACGATGTCTTAATACTGCGCATCAGCTGAATAAGCCACCAGGCCACGTGTCAGAGGTGGCAGAAGTTCTCTCAAGCTGGAGACACACGGCAGTCTCTGACAGTCTCTTTGCAACCAACGTTCATAGGATCGGCGTAAAACTCTAAGAAAGTTGGGAGCGCCCCAGTTCCCCACGCCGCAGCAACATAGGCATACGCGGGCAGCGTGCCAGCTCAGTCTGGCAACAGACCACTTACGAGTGCGTACAGTGTAACAGCTCAGCAGGACACCAGATCGTAATGCCAGCAGTCGAGCAGTGTCAGATTGTGCGCAACCGCTGTGCGTCTGCTGGTGGGGCCCTAGCTTACGTACATGCAGCGTAAAAAGCTGAACAAGGCACCACAGCACCCGCATACCTTGCCGCCAATGAGCAAGACGCCAGGTGGTATCCACACACACACATGCAGCGAAACCGCGAAGAAAGCTGCCACAGGGTACCACAACACGCACGATCACAGCATTAATGAAGTGCCCTCGTGCTCCAGCTTGCCTTGGCTCTCAAAGGTCAAGCCTGGATCGTAGACTGTGCCGCAGCACAAAGCTGCTGTGCGGAACAGTCCTGACCCCGGCGCATCCCTCGGCAGCAGACAGGTCAGAGGGGTGGAGTGATTGATGGCCGGCCCATTCGTCCGACGGCGTGGTAGTGAAGTTTGACCGGACTCAAAGTGACCTGTCCTGCTTTGCGGTCGATTCTGTTCACATATCAGACGAGTGGGCGGTGGGTATGCATCGCCATTCGGCCTTGATGTGGCACGATATACGAGATAAAACGAAGAAATCGGTTGTCCCTTGATCCAGTTGTCCCGGAAGTCCCTTGACGCTGGTTCTGGAACCGTAGACTGTACTGCAGCACAAAGCTGCTGTGAGGAATAGTCCTGGTCCCGACGCATGCGCTCGGCAGCAGACAGGTTAGAGGTGTGGGGTGACTGATGGCCGGCCCATGATGTAGTGAAGTTTGACCGCAATCAAAGTGAGCTGCACAGGCTGATATGCCAGGCGAGTGGGTGGTGCGCATTCATTGCCATTTGGCCGTAAATTGACAAGATAAACAACATGAAACGTACGAATCTTCGGAGACATTTCAGTTTGTTTTGTAAAGAAAATGGTCCTTAAATTTTATTGGGATAACATTTTGGGCTCAGTACAAAAAAGTGGTGCTTTTTGCTTGAGCCCTGACAACACCATCAAATCGCAAAACTCCATGCCAAGATTATAAGTTGACAGCGAAGGCTTAAAAGGACAGTTCCACATGTGTATGGGGATTTTAACTGAGAAAGCTATTTTCAAGATAATTTCCTGTAGCTTGCAGCTATCTTCTTCTTGAGGATTCATACCCTCTCGTGTCCAGGCTAGGCGCATTCGACCTTGTTTGGTACTATTTTGAACGGCCTATTCCGTGCCTCCTAATTTAAAGTCGCCCATTTATGTATTATGTCATGGAACTGTCACACGAACTTCTCCCACTCAATGGCCATACTGTGTTGAAGGTCAAGACGTATTGACCATTGAGTTATTCGTGTCGGCAGTGCGTCAGCTGGAATCGGAGTAGCTACGGACAGCAATTACCTTGCAACCAGCCCAACGCGTTAACCGCAATTTCTGAACAAGAACAACGTTTCGTGACACATAATGCAGGAATTTGGGCAGTGCTTCTAGTTATACTTACAGCGAAGGCGTAAAGGGACTGTTCCACAATTGTATGAAGTTTTGAGTTACTATTTCGTGCCTCCCACTTTGAAGGCACCCAGAGATGCTTGATGTCATAGAAACATCACCCAAAGGCCGCCTCCTCAAGGACCATATTGAAAGTCAGGACAGGTCTCAATGTTAAGGTTTTAAACAAAAAGGTCTCTCGGCAATTTCATGTACTACAAGTGAGTTGGTCCCTCCGCTACAGTGGCACTTCTGACACGGCCAGTCTGGCAGCGACTCTGAAGTCATACAAACGGTCCATGGCGTAAACAAGTGGTGACGTTTTGAAAAGCTAAATAGTGAAATTACGTTGTCTAGGGCAGTCTGTTGCACTTAAAAGCATACCAATAGTTACAAGCGAGCTTTTCCATCATAGCTTGCCTGAATATCTTCAAATGCGGAACATTTAACGTACCGCAACGCTCCACGTTGCCCTTCACCCTCTGACGTCATTTGGCCTTTACCGCACTCTGCTATCGACCACAGTCCATAATAGCCAGGGTAAAACAGCAAGGATATCAAGCAACGCGAACCCTCCCGGCACCTGGTAAGTGAATCGGAACGCAAGTACGCTAACCGACTGAGGCATTGGGACAAACACGGAAGGGAGGAGAATGGAAAGATCGGTTCAGAATGTCGTCAGGGTGACAGACATGGCATTGCTGTTCCCCTGGAACTTGGTATCCCTTAAGAGCGAAGGTTTGGAGCTATTTGCGGTACCTCTGGAGTTAGGTGCCTCTTGGAAGTAAGCGTTATGGTGATCCGGTGTGAAGGCTTTGGTCGTCTTTTGCTGAATAGACCGATCCAGAATTTTGTCAAGAGACACGGCGTGGATACTGTGATGCCCCTCAAATTTGGTGCCTCTTAAAAATAAAGATTCGAGGCCATTTGTGGTGCCCTGGGATTTTGGTGACTTGAGAATAAGGGTTGTGTGGTTCCGAAGTGAAGATTTCGGTGTCTATTGATCACGAGATTTGGTGTCCCGAAGTGTCGCCAACACCTTACGGGGCCCAAGGGGAGCATGCCCCCATGCTCCCCCTACCTGGACCCGTCCCGGCGGGGGGGGGGGACATAACGGCTGATGATGCCGTTCACTGTGTGCCCAGTGACGAAGACCGACAGCTGACTTCCGTCGCCAGATTGCCGCGCGCTATCAGCCTGCGGAGAAATCCCTGTTCGCCTGCTGCGGCAATTGCTTTTGACAGCCGTTTTTAGCCGTGCCGTTGGGCGTGGCTTTTAGCGGGGTTGTCAGTGAGCTGAGACCGTGCCGCTTCTTTCAGTCGGTGGTACGGCGGAGAGCGAGGAGTCGCGAAGATGGCCGCCTTTGTTGCGAAACAGATGGTTGGCAGTCAGCTGAAGGCCGTCAAAGGTAAGTGGGTCATCTTTGCTGGCCAATTTCGTGAGTGTTCGATGAACGTTACTGCATGCGCAGTAGCGACATTTTGGAACACACCCACGGACCAACAGACCACCAGCACTTTCCAGCTCCGCACAATTTGCGGTCGGCAATCTCAGTCTTTTTGACCAGTGCAGCTTCTGTGTAACAGCACATACCTGTAGCGTCATTCAATACTCTAAAGCTAGAAAATGATATAATTAACACGAGCCAGGTTGGCCGGTTGAATGCGACGCGCTCGAGGATGGGGAGCGTGATTTTACCCCTGAAATGTAAAAAAGAGTAAGACACCAAACTTATAGAGTGGGTAGGACTCCAAAAACAAGGTCAAAAGGTCGAACACGAGACCGGTGTCTGAAGTGCCCTTAGACTTCCTCACGAAACCATGTTTAACATAAATGCCTAGTCAAGTTAAAGCCAAATGCCATTATTGTTTCGCATCAGGTCACTGACCTGATTTGACCTTCAAAAGGTGGAGACGATCAAAATTTCTTATATTTCCTTGATATTTGAATTTAGAATAAGTGTCATCAGATGCGTCAGGCGGCGTAGCTCTCGAACCAAAAAGCTAATCGGGGCAAGTTAAGACCAGCGATCTCCCCTGAACTTAACAAAGCCAAAACAAGATGTCTATTGACCTCTCTTTGATAAAGAAGTTCAAAATCAGCGAGGGAAACTAACCCTTAGAGTCAGTTTCGGGGATAAGTCGGTTGGATTTTGACCTTGACCTGGCCCAATGTATGTACCTGAACCAAGGTCGATGGAATGAGTCGTAATCCTATCTATATTGCCTAGTTGTCTGGGAATTCATCTCAAAGTTGCATGTTGTCGTCCAGCGTTCAGTTATCGCATACTACCGTACGATTCCTTAGGAATTGCCTTCGTTGACAGGCATAGCCCGATTAGGGCCTGCCATAGATTAGCGACTTCACAAGGCACATCTAATAAGCTAACAACATTTGGCCACACCACACGAAAGGCGTGGATACGCCGCACCTTTCGGAAGTTAGTCTGGAAAAAAAATCACGGTGATGGGTCCAATGAGCCCCCCACACCCGACCGCGCGTAAAAGATGAGAGGTAACAAGTGCAGTGCTGGTGACTGTTGATACTTATAAGCAGCCCACAGTATTTTAAGGCAAGTAACTCAGTTAGTGCTTAAACGCAGCCCACGGTACTTTAACTTACCATGCGGAGAGAGATGGAAGATATAACAAAAAGACCGACACTGGTGTTAACCGAACCGTGCCAGCATGTAGACGGTTTTCAGTATAAGCGTCGGTAAAATATTATAGTTTCCAAGCTTGCGCATAGCTTTGGGAACACATTCGCCTGCTTGTGCCCGGCCAGTCCTCTCAGCAGGAGTAAGAAGGTGCAAATCTCTCGGGGATACTTATAAAGTGTCTGCCTTCTGCATGTTTCTCGTCAGACACGGGTAAAAACGTGCGTGTTATGATGTTTTGTGCTCAGTTTAACGCCTTTTCGCTTGGCAAGACAGTGCCGTTAAATTTTCACGACATAAGGACACGTTTGCGCAAAACTTCAGGCAATTAATCTTTCCACCAATCGCACGTCTGCTCTGTGCTTTGAATTATCAAAGTTTTCCCCACTCCCTCTACTAAACTGCAGGAGCGTGGTGTGTGTTTAAATTTTCATACTGCATCTGACGCTGAGCATAATGAAGTACACATTTAATCATCGCCCGCCTGGGACAGCACTTGTCCCGTTGCAGCATAGTGCTATGTACATATCGGATGCACCATAATGGGGCAAGTTTGTCGGCGATTCTTCTGTGGATGATCGATAAATGCTTAAACAAAGATGCAGGGCGATAAACACCTCCTCTGTATGATTGATTATTCCTCAGCGCGCTGTCTTTGAAATAAACGTTCCGCGTACTTAGCTTACTTAGCTTACGTACTCCGCCTACTTAGCTTACTTAGTTTACTTGCTCCGCTTACCTAGCTTACTATCTGCAGCGCTTATGTGCATCAATCAGCCATCGACGAGCTTGTTTGGAAGGCTGATAACACGGTACATTATAACATGGTAGTTGAAGTAGGCACATCAATCATTTTCTCCATCAAAAAGTTCAGGTATCTGTCTATCTAGACAGACGTAGCTTTCCAGCCCAGCTGCCGCAACTTTCTACATGTCTGTGATGACTTGAATGAAAAGAAATATCGTGTATCAGCTCCCATTCAATCACATCATGTCATGCGTCTATAGGACCGAAAAACTATAGGAACATCAACAAGCTGTCACCAAAATTTTACGTCTAATGGATGGAATAGTTATTCAGGCTATAGGACTACACCTACAAATGTTTGCACTCAGTCCATCTGTAAGACTTCGGTGCACAACTGCCGGAGATATTTAACATTTTTACGACTCCTCTCCACAGACCACGCAGTATGGCTGGAACAGAGCTCCTTTACATTCGAGAGGAAGACAGCACATGGCATGTCACTGATGTATATGCTGGCATCACTACACATGCTTGAACCTTCAGGCTTTTCTAGTCCCAGCGCGTGCGCCGCGAAGCAAGCGCAGAAGGCCAAAGGCGTACCAAGGCTGCCATAATTTCCTTGGGGGACATTTTACGAGCAATCAGCAGGCGAATGGCAGCGTTTTCACGCACACATGAGGCCGGTTATGTCGGCCCACAGCTTCAGCCGCGTTTGTCGGACATCAAAATTATGACTGCAGCAGTAGCAGGCCGGATGGGCTGGTTCAGAATGTGTAGCTTGCTGGTGATTGGGATGTTCCGAGGGCTCCCCACGCTCCGTGTGATGACCCGGACCCGCTTGGGCGTATAAGGGAACATGTTACTGCCGCCTTAATAATGGACAAACACTGCCCAGTGGCTCAATATTGTATAAGAAGCTGTGTGATGTGCAGCCAAACACTATGTTGTTGACAAGTAACTCACATAAACGTTCTACGATAGCTCGGACGGATAGTCATAACCGCAAGGCTTAAATGATTTGCCTTGCAACCTTATTTATTGTTTTGATTTTTTGATATTTATTGGTGAAATGGTTCTTTTCACCTTCCTAGGATCTCCAGAAAACGTAAATAATCAATTTCACATACAATGACAAAATGGAAATAAACAAACATGATGAAAGATAAGATGAACATGAATTATCAAACCAGCGTGGTGGCCCGTGGCCATTCTGTTCTCAAGCGGCAAAACGGAGGCTGTAGCAATGATAGAAAAGAACTATGAAGACTATGGATAGGGGAAAACCAAGGCTATCGAATCAATGAGGTAAAACGCTCCGGTCTTCGTAAGTATAGACCCCATGGCTTTGGAAGCAGCCACGAATTCGGATATCATGCTCATGTTTTGATTGGCTGGGGAGGTCATGTCGTCACGGAATTAAACTCCGGTTGTCATGGCAATAAACCACAACTTCTGTATTGTGTTGTTGTGTTCAAGGGCTGGCTCTGATCTGTGCTACGCCATATTCTAGATTGCTGAGGTGCAAAGGACCTAGTTGTAAATGTGTATATCAGGGCGGGTAGTAAGGGGCTCGTCATTTTGTGACAGCCAGCGTGACGCGGCAAGACAAATCACCGTGATGATCAAGATTCCGCTGCTCGCTTTGTTCGCGTGGAAACCCCTTTTCCCCTCATGGTATACGCCTCAGCAAATCTGCTGGAGAAAAAATTAATGATCCTGTTGACCTCTTCTGATGATGCTTAAATGGAGGAGTACCCAAGCCTCAAAACTTACAACGAAGTGAGGCTGCGATCAAGATGAATGTGGAAGTAATACCTAATAAAAATATCAGTAACAACGCTACCATGAAAATAAAAATAGCGTGATGCTGCTAGGAGCTACTAGATTATCGTGAATCCAGGGTAAGTTAAAAAAAACCTGGATTCACCGAAATGAGCCAGGCAAACGATGCAGACCATCACTCGCCCCCCACAAACGTTTGTCTGTCTGGGTTTTTTTCTGGAGCACCATTTTACAGGTGCATGGCGATACGGCGAGGCGGTGATGTTGTGTGACCAATATAGGATGACTTGTGGTGACGCGCGCAGTCGCCGAAAGAGCATCGAAACTCACAGACGATATTGGTGGCCTTGAGAGCGGATGTGTCTTGTGCTAAGGTGTTGTTCATGATTCGGCCAAATACATCAGGGTCTTTGTAGAAAATCGTTTAATTTTGTCCCGGGGTCTAGTGGGTACCCAGTTTTTCCAGGCAATGTCATGAAGACGGTTTCCATCTTTTTAGGCAGTAGACGTCCTTTTACGAAACAAATTGTTTGCCTGTCTTGGTCGTCGTTAGGTTCGTCAGATATCCTCTAGCAGTGCGAGAGAACAGTGTCGGTATAGTTTCCGTCCGGCATGGTCATCTATATTGTTCAATCTATGGTTGCTGTTTAACAAGATTTGCTTCATTCTCTGCAGCTCCTGATGCAGAAGTGGCCAAGTAGAGCAATGCTAGAATGCGCGATGGACATATTTACGAACGCTGTTATGTTTGTATTTGCCAGGGCACCCCTAACACCTTTTAAGCAGCGGGCTTTCTAAACAAACATGTAGCAGCAAAGGCGACATGAGATGCGTCATTACATAAAAAAGGCGTACTATTGTATGCAGCTAATTTAACGGTGAATTGTGGAACTGGATGCTCCATAAGACTTGGTTTAAGTGAAAAGAGTTGTTGCTCACTGCGAATATTATAAAAAAACGTTATCAACACATCTACAGTGTGTGCATTGTTTGTTATCCATGCTGGTGCTTGCCATGGATTAAAGATGTGCCATGTATCTTTCCGTCAAGAACACGCTAAGCATTGAGACCATCGCCGTTTTGTCCACCTGACAGCATAGTTGTCCTTGAGGGTGACGGGAAAACTAATTCCTTTTTTGAGGATCTCTTTGGGAGATGCGGTGCTCGCATGGAATCTTGATGATAGGCATTTTTCAAAATGATCCGGATCGTGGAATCAACGG